TGAACTTCTCTAGCTCTCAGGAGGGGAGTGATGAGGAATGCACCATGCATATCTGCAGCAGACGCTTTTGGGTGACTAACTGAATAGCTGTTCCCAGCCCTTTCTCCCTTCTCTGCTTCTAATCTAGAAGAGGCTGGAAAAATGCAACACCCCCTCTGTAGGCCTCTTTTGGAGTTAACGGATGATAATGTGACCAAATTCTGGCTTACGAGACAGAGGGAAGTCTATTGGGGTGCTTCTAGAAAGCCTTTTATTTTCCTGATGGAAGAAACAAGCGTAAGAGAGAGCAAGTCACTGGCACTGTCTCTCCCTTGCTCCTGGATTCCATGCAGACTTGATGCCTAGACCCGTGGGACAGTGTGCTGGCTTTGTATTGTGTTGGTCCAGCTAAGCAGCATCTGTTATCCAGAATCTTCCCATAGTTCCAGGTTAGCATTGGCCACAAGGGAAATGTCGCATGAGATCTGGGAGGCAGCAGCTAAGCAGCAGCCATGGTTTTTATGCTCTGAAGGACAACACAGGGCATAAGGAACATTGGCAATTCTCACACACTGCCGCTGACCTGCTGCCTCACCTTGTTGGCATGGGGCAGCAGAAAGACTCACGGTTCCTCCTTCTCCCACCGGATCTCCTCCTATGGCTTCTTCAAGCCCTAAGCCAAGTGCATCTGTAGCTCAGTAAAGGGTATCAGCATGTTTTGCAGGACACCTCATTATTGAGGCTGGAGGTAGTGACAGACACATGCAGATCCAGTTTGTTCTAAAGGACTTCAGTCGTTCATGAATTTCAGTTTGTTCTCACAGATTCCAATCTGTTCTTGCTATCATCCCACATCCAACTTTCCACCTTGACTGCCATCCTGGCTGACCTATAGTGACTTCAGACTCAACTTTAGAACCAAAGACAACAAACAGCCATGCCAGGACTCCTCCACCAGCTCTCACATCCTGCAAGCTCTAAGGCAGCACTGTCCAGCAGAACTTTCTGTGATTATGGAAGTGTTTTATACCTGAGCTGCCGCATATGATAGCCACGAGTCTCACGGGCTACTAAGCATTTGAAACATACCTAGTGCAGCAGAGGAGCTAAGTTGTTACTCTGATTTAATGTGAATTAATTTAAATTTAAATAACCAGATATGGCTAGTGGCTACAATATTGGACAATGTAGGCCTAGTGCATTTTTTAAATCACTTGTAGTGGCTTTGTTTCTCTGATTGAATCCTGACTGATACAGGTAGCAGCTGCTAGTTACATGGGGAGAGCATGGAGACACAAAGCCAGCATACTAGGAATCACAGGGCTGGAGAAGAAGCAGCCTGCGTCCTGGAAGTTCAACCAGCCTGTAATCTTTGAACTTCTTAGATGAGAAAAAAAAAATAGACCCCCAGTGGGCAGTGAACTCTCACCTTGTACTTCCAATAAATCCTGTCTCTTTTCTTGGTGGCTTCTTCCTGCAGTGAAGTGGTATAGACCTTGTCTAGAATACCACAGGACACAGACGGTGATCTTAGAACTCAATTTGAAAAAAATGTGTTTATGCATGCATAGGAATCATAAAATATAAATTTAAACTCATCTTTTGAAAGAAGAAAGTAACGTCAATAGAGCTATTAACAAGAATTAATGTTAGCTTTCTGACCAAGCAACTCTCTTTTCCTTTATGTTTATCTTTGCTTTCTCTTGAAGAATGACCTATAGGAAGTAACCCACCTTCTGCAGTCCTTTGAGTTCATGGATACATAAATGAACACTATAAACTTTAGACTTTAAGAAGTGGGTATTAGTCAGAGTTTGCCAGAAACACAGAACCAGAAGGATGAATATATATAAAGATATTTATTATAAAGTATCGACTCTTTCAATTACGGAGGCTGAGAAGTCCCATAATCTGTCATGTACAAGCTGGAGACCCAGTAAAGCTGGTGAAAGAGTTTGAAGGTCTAGAGCTGAAGAGCCAAGGGTGTAGATTCCAGTCCTGGTCTAAAGGCCTGAAAACCATGAGTGCCAACAGCAGGAGAACAATGTCCCAACTCATGCAGTGAGGCAGAGAGTGAATTCAACCTTCCCCCACTTTTTTATTTCTATTCAATCCCTAATGGATTGGATGAAGCCCACCAACACTGAGGAGGGCATGTGCTTCACTCAGTCCACCAACTCAAACACCAATCTCCTCCAGGAACACTTTCACAGACATACTCTGCCATAATGTTTAACCAACTACCTGGGCATCCCATGGCCTAGTCAAGTCAACACATAAAATTAACCACCATAGTGTTCTACACATACAATGGCCTCACAAACAGGAACTAAACAATTAGCAAAGCTTCATGGCTCAGTTCCAGAATTGAGGGTGTTAATCTGTTTTCTGTTAAGAAACTCTAGGCTCTATGTGAACTGAAACTATATCAAGATGCTGACACTAAAATTAGAAATGGGAAGAAGTAGGTTTTAAACCATAAAATTAATTGGCGGTAACTGACAAGCAAGATAAGACGTGTACTCAAAGGAACAAATGTGATGGTCTAGTTGCTAAGTAGCAACAGCAAACTTATCAGCCCTCCTATTCAGCAATCTAGCAACATGGAATATAGCAGAATTGTTAAACCAAACACACACACACACACACACACACACACACACACACACGTATGTATGTATTCTGTCCAAATTCTGGAAGCAATTAAAAGGAGTAATTTGAACATGTAATGCTGAGCAACACAGTAATTAATAGGATATTGGCCCCCCAAGATTTATAGGACCCTCTCTAGTCTTCCTCTTGTCACATACCTCACCACAGGTGAGACACCCTTAGGGCACTACTCACCCAGACCCCATTCCCCCTCCATTGTTGACCACCTTCCAGGTACTTGAGATCATGAAATTTCCCACTCAAATGCTGATCCCATAGCTCACTTCTAGGGCTTCATCAGGCATCTTCCCTAAGTCCATCCATTCAAGAGTCAACTGCAGGTAGGAGGTGCATATTTCCAGGACCAAGAGGTGGCTTTTGGGATAGAGCTTGGTTATCAAGAACCATACTGCCCTCATATTTCTATGCAAGTATCCTTGTGGATGCAAGACTGAGTCAGGGTTTAGGAAGATAAGGGGATCTTCAATTGCACTCTTGCTCTGGTATTCATAAAAACTAGTGGCAGGCCTGCCCCCAGGCACCCATACAAAGAAAAGCTAGAGAGAAATATAGAGGAAAGGTTCAATAGTAGGTTTTTGTTGTGAGGGGACTTATGAAAATTAAAAAGGTATAAAAACATTTGGAAAATAAGCACTGTGAAAATTCAGTGAATCTAAAATCCCTTATTAAATGGTAAAACTGCAGTGCCGAATTATGCTATAAACCAGACTCATAGTGTTTTCCTATTAAGAAACACTTCTGATTTAAGTTTAATGTTTCCCCATTGCTTGGGGTGAGATGGGGGGAAGTTGGAGGAGAGGAATAGTCAGAGATGGATGGCAAAGATTGGTGATAAGTTGTTACTGACCTGCAGAGTTTACAGCTTGAAAGAAAAACTGTAGGAGTTAAGATCCTCTTTCCTAGGAATCCATGCCATGCGAAGTTTAGGGATTGAGGTAGTGGCTGCTGATATGTGAAAATGGGCCTGTAAACTTTGCAAGCGATCCAGTAAATTATGCTTGTTCTAGTGGGACCTCCCCCCCACTCCGCCCCCATCCCTCCAACTCCACATTCCAATCCCCAGGCCAGAATCATCAAAGGTAAAAAATATTCATGGAGTATAAGCAGGCTGTAGCAAGACAGGCTCTTCAGCAGGCAATCTTTCCCTCCTCCCACGTGATGACTGTCTTTCTTGCCAGTTCCCTAGGCAGAGCCTTCACTTCCCAGTCAGCCGCCCTTCCCCAAGTGAAGTGACTTCTTATAGAACACAGTTACCCATGTTGTCTGCCAAACTGGATTTTGTTTTATTTTGTGCTGAACGTCAGCCCCATTTCCACGACTCTGCAATTATCACAATATGTGGTAGGAAACCGTTATTGTCAGCTCCAGTCTGAAACTGGCCACTTACCAATACACTGCCAGGAACAAGTCTTTCCGGATGGATACTATGTGGTTAACAGAACATGTAAAGATAAGCAGGTAAACAAAATATCAACATTTTCTTACAAGACTGGGCTTCAGGACAAAAAAGTGATGTGCAATGGTTTTCATGTTGTATCCACAAACAAATTCTGCACAATTACAAGAAACACTCTTTTTTTTTTTTTCTTTTTTTAATTGTTGCTTAAGTGGTTATCCGTTATGCTGTTGACATAGGAAAAGGCGAAATGCCAGTAACCGAATCAAAGCAGCAGTGCAACAGGCCGCTCGGTGGTGCGCATTGCATGGGTTGGTTCCTTGGATGGACAGACTTGCTTTACACTTCCTCCCAATTTTTGTCCCACCCTCTTAGTCTATCTATCTTCCAGGGAATGGTAAAACAAATCAAAACATACTGGTCTTACTTCAAGCTGTCTTTGGACTGTTATTCCCTTGTTCCACTCATTTCACGGGATTGGGTTCTCCTAACTTCATTGTTGGGTGAGTCGCTTTGCTTTCCTCATTGCCCCAATCTTCTGTACATTCTGCGCCGACCCCTCCAGTGCTCCTGCACTCGCTCGCAGCACTCTGCTGGGGCTTAACACTTCCCAGCCGAGGTCAGCTGCCTTGCGCGCTTGGAGTACCGGACCCCAAGGAAGCGAGAAACACCTCTCCTGCCGGTCGCGGGCAGCTCCCGAACACAAGCACCCCGCGTGCCTCTGCCCAGTACGGCGCCCAGTGGGTGCTCAGGCTCCTTCTCCGGCGCGCCCTAGGGACTCGGAACGCCCCCGCAAAAGTGACGCGTCCTGCCTCCCCGGCAGCTCGCGGACACTCACACTTGCAAGGCCCGGCCAGCACTTGTGGGCTCGTCCTCCCCCCCCCCCGCCATGGTGCGGGGGCGGAGACGACGGCTCCCCTAGCCTCTGGCTCCAAGCCCCAGCAGGCGCCGGTAGGCGGGTAGGCGCGGGAGCCTCGAGAGCGCTGCTCGGATGCAGCAGCCGAGCCACCACACTGCGCGCGGCGGTAGACCCAGGACCAGCCGCCGTTGGCGCGCTGGGTGCGAGAAGAGGACTCCGTATTTCCGTCCCTCCCCTTTTTCCTCTGAGTCTCCGAACGCTCCCGCTCTCAGACCCTCCTCCTCCCAGGTAAAGGCCGGGAGAGGAGGGCTCATCTCTTTTCCAGGCACCCCACCATGGGCAATGCCTCCAATGACTCCCGGCCGGAGGACTGCGAGACGCGACAGTGGCTTCCCCCGGGCGAAAGCCCAGCTATCAGCTCCGCGATGTTTTCGGCGGGGGTGCTGGGGAACCTCATCGCGCTGGCGCTGCTGGCGCGCCGCTGGCGAGGGGACGCGGGGTGCAGCGCTGGCCGCAGGTGCTCCCTCTCCTTGTTCCACGTGCTGGTGACCGAGCTGGTGTTCACCGACCTCCTCGGGACTTGCCTCATAAGTCCGGTGGTACTGGCTTCATACGCACGGAACCAGACCCTGGTAGCACTGGCGCCCGAGAGCCGCGCGTGCACCTACTTCGCTTTCGCCATGACCTTCTTCAGCCTGGCCACGATGCTCATGCTCTTTGCCATGGCCTTGGAGCGCTACCTCTCGATCGGGCACCCCTATTTCTACCAGCGCCGCGTCTCGCGCTCCGGGGGCCTGGCCGTGCTGCCAGTCATCTACGCAGTCTCCCTGCTCTTCTGCTCGCTGCCGCTGCTGGACTACGGGCAGTACGTCCAGTACTGCCCCGGGACCTGGTGCTTCATCCGGCACGCGCAGACCGCTTACCTGCAGCTGTACGCCACCCTGCTGCTGCTCCTCATTGTCGCGGTGCTCGCCTGCAACTTCAGTGTCATCCTCAACCTCATCCGCATGCACCGCCGAAGCCGGAGAAGCCACTGTGGACCTTTTTTGGGCAGTGGCCGGTGCGGCCCGGGGGCCCGCAGGAGAGGGGAAAGGGTGTCCATGACGGAGGAGACGGACCACCTCATTCTCCTGGCTATCATGACCATCACCTTCGCCGTCTGCTCCTTTCCTTTCACAGTAAGTCACTCCCTACGTTTCCATAGCCTGGCTCTGCTCAGCCTTCTCATGATTTCCCCTGATGCCCCCGCCCTTTCCATTGCCCTACAAAGTTTTTGCAACTTGTAAAAGTATGTCCTAATTTGTAAAGATCTATAGCCTTCCCCACTCGCTTCTCCTCTTTAGCCCACTTCCTTCCTCCCTCAATCCTGGCTTATGGGCCTTGCTAGGCTAGAGTTTCTTATACAGTAATACAGACCGTCCGAAAGGGAGTCCTGGGCCTTGGCTAAGCCAGCCAAACTCCTCATCCTAGCCCCGTGCAGTGTCCCTTTCTCACTGTTGCGTATCTTGGCTTAGTAATTGAGAAAGAGGCAGCCCCTTCCACCTTAGGATGGCTGTCACTGTTCCAGCCTGACTATATGGAGCTGCGGTTTGCTGCCCTGTACCTCTTACCCACTGATGCTAGCTCACTTGCCTTCTGTTCCTGCCAGGGCAAAATGTAGTACCCAACCCAAGCATTCCAGCTGCCACTGAAAATGGTCCCAGATGAGAAGGGTCCCTGTTGCAGAAGTTTAGAGATTTGCTTAAAAGTCGAACAAACATCTAGTTTATAAGTTTCCCAATTTATATTTTTGATTGTAACTCTTTGTGGCCATGAAAATTTAAAAACTATAATGATAACTAAAGGAAATGTTTGGAGGAACGCCTTCCTAAGCATTTGTCATCTCTTGCAAAACACCCTCTTAATGTCACTGTCAGAAATACACCCAGGTGATCTTCTGCTTACAGTCATGCACTTGATGAATACAAAGTCACATGCAGGAATGGCTGGTCCATCTCAGGAAGGGGAGAGTGGGGCTACCTGGGGAACTGAAGGACAGGAGCCCAAGTCCTGGCATCGTGCTGCCTTGCTTTGGGGCAACTTTAGCAGTTAGTTGGTGCTAACTAACTGCTAAATGATATTATGCTGTGAGTTTGAGTCTCTTAAAGTGTAACCTTTTAGCTGAGCCTGAAATATGTCTGAGAATGTGCTGGCCTCTTACTGGGGCTAGGAATTGGGAGTTGTGACAACTCCACTTCCTAATCTTCAGAAGAGCAAGGCTGACGCTGCAGCATCAAAGTAGTTAACAGTGACCCTCACCTGCCACAATCTTGGATAAAAGAAAAGATATGGGCAGTGCCTACTATTAATAGGTCTGACCTGTAAAAGCTGGAGGAGAAGTAACTTTTTCCTATCTCCTGCCTCCATTACTGCTTCTTATATCTTCATGTGCTCATCCTCCAGGATGGGAAAGGACACAGGGTCCCAAAAACCTGAATATGATTCTCTCCACCCCAGCACAGTTAACTCCCTTTCTTAGCTATGTTCTCTTCTCCCTGCTCCCCACTGCCCTCACCCTTCCACCCCATGCTCTGTCAGGGCAGAAACTGTTCTGAATTGGTAAGTTAAACTTTGAGGGAATGAGATGGAATATTCAAAGACGCCCTCTTATAAAACGAAGTCTGACTGTGGGAGGCTTCATCTCCCATACACTCTGAGCACAAAAGTTTGTGCAACAGAAACGCTGTGATGTAGAAACCCACATGGCTTATATTCTTTTAACTTATTTTACAGGTAGAAGCTTTTGATTACATTAGGAGCTAAATCAGCTTCTGGAGGTCAGGACTAGGATGCAGAGCATATATCTATGAAAGAAATCATTTCAGGTTCCACCAAACAGCTTTACATTCAGCTTGGGGAACAGAAACTATTCCTGAAACACTGTCTTACAGTGGTGGGAATTAGGATATCAGTTCTTAGAGTTTTACCTGTCATTTGTGAGTACATTTATAAAAATATCTGCACACCCCCCTCAGCTACTTAAATACCCTGGGAATGGGCTTGGGGTGATAACGGACTTGCAAAAATGATTTTTAGTCTCTTTCCTACATGAGCAAGAGTAAAAAGGTCTCCTCTTTGACCACGGCTGACCCACTGCATAAACTGTATTTTTTTAAAATAAAGGCAGTGGTTTCCAACAGCTTTCCCTGTTTTCAGGTAAATTGACCTTTTATCATGAGAACTCCATCACTGCCATATGTTTTTGTAAATTCGAATGTGTGTGTGTAGAGATATAGATATAGATATATAAATTTTTTGCCCTCCTTCAGTTAATATTAGGCTAAGGGCTGCTTCGGAGTTGCCAAATAGAAGGGACTTAGAGATAGAAGTCTGGCTAAAAGTTTTGAGGGAGTAGGAGCTTTGTTTTAAAGCTATATTTTTATTTAGATTTCCTGTTTGTGGCTTAGGGGGACCAGATGAAGACTATGAAGGGGCTTTAGCTCCCCCAAGCCACCCCTTAGCATTAACACTATCAGCAAATATTTTTTACTTTTGCATCGGCATATATTACAGCAGAGATTCCCAAAGAGCCAGAGAAAATCTCAGTGTGAACATAATGAAAAAGCCAGCCTCCCTGACTTCCTTTCTTGGAACTACCATGATACCATATCCAGATGAACTAGACACAAAGTGGCAATTTGAAGCATTGCCACCTCTTATCAAGAAAATTTATATTGACCACTGATGCATTTTATTTTGTCAATAGATTATTGAGAATGATTGCTGGCATCTTTCATTTACATAGCACTTCAAGCTTTACGAAGCTTTACTATCTTGATTTAAGTTATTTCTTGAAGGGCTTATCAGAAAATTCAAACTCATGGCTACTGTTTAGTTCATACATTCTGCTGTTCAGAATCCTTGGCATGTGCCTCCAAGGGAGGTTGCTTTTTTCTCCAAGTCCTTTTATTCTACTTGGCCTACATTAAAACTGTGATCAGAAGTGGCCTACTCCAATCTCTCACCTGAGGCAGGATCATTTCCACAAGTCCACATTTCTGTTTCTCTAAGGGAGTGCACATGATCAGATAGAAACCACAATGCAAGCCACAAATGGAATTTTAAATTTTCTAGTAGTCACATAACAAAAGGTAAAAAGAAACAGAGAAAATTAATTTAATTATGTATTTTATTTAACCCAATATATCGAAATTATCAATTTAAAATGTTACTTATGTAAAAGAATTATTAATAAGCTATTCCAAGAAAGTCTCTTCCTTGTGTCCCAGAAAATAGTAACAATCTACCCCAAGTCTTCCCAATCCTTCCACAGGATAACAGGCTGCTTTCTATGTCCCTTAAAAGTCAACCAAACCACTTGCAACAAGGAGAGCTGTACACATTGGGACATAGTCTATTCCACAACACTCCAGTAGTGGAGAGAGGAGGGGAATGGGTAAATTCAGAAACCTGGAACTACTAATGTCAGGCATTGTCCCAGGGTTTGGGCAGGTTGGAATTACTGCTTCCTTCAAAGATGTCAGTCTAGGGCATCCAAAATTTTGGAGGTAAAACTGTAAAAAACAATTTTTTTAAAGGCCCAGTGCCCTCAAGTGAAGTCAAGTTCAACCTCATATATCATTATTATCAACTCCAAAATAAAAATGCTAGTTTTTACATTAATCCATTATCTTCACAAAACCACAGGAAATAGTAAGATGATTTCTACGGAATAGATGAGGCAAATGACTCACCCTGTGTTCCACAGCTTGTGGGTGGTGGAACTGGGATTCAAAGCTAGGCAGTTTAAGACTGAGCCACTGAACCTAACCCTAACACTATCCAAGAGAAAGTACTCATTTCAGGGGTAACAGATGAGAAGATTAATCTAGGATTTCTTAAGAGAACTGTGAGAATGTTATAAATATTTGGACCACTTTGCCTCTAAATTCCAACTAGTTAGCTTTAAAAATAAAATGGCAAAGACCTTTTTTCTTCATGTCAGCTCAAGGGAGCTGAGCCAGGGCCAACTATGTGGTTCCCTTTCTTTTCTCCACAGACCTATGAAATAAAAAGCCGAGACCCAGATTCTAGGAGATTGGCTAATGTAAATTCTGGTCTAAATTAAGAAATAATCAGATTATCCCTCACATAAAATCTTTCATCGGAACACATAAAACATCTCTTAAGTGATCAAAAACCATGTGGTGTTTGGGAAATGACATTATTTTGGCTGTCCAATATGAAATTCTGCATGGAACCAACAACATACTCTAAACTGTTTATTCAATAAAGAGATATTGTATAAATTAATAAATTCCTCCTTATGCTAATCAACTATTGTCATCATTTTACAGAGATTAATAAGAAACTTTCTTTCTTCCCAAATGGAACAGAACACAGGAAATATAAGAGACCCCTATCTTGCCTCAGATACTGTTTGTGTCTTCATATCCAACTCATATCAAGCCCCTTTCTCACCACTCTTCTAATAGTAGACAGCTTCTGGCCATTTGAAACTGCTTTCCACATGCCATGAGGATAAAGTGCTTATGCATTTTTATTCAGTTCTTAAATTTCAAGAGTAAACCATTGACTCATTCTAAAAAGTTCTCCATCTTTAGAAATTCTTTAGGGTTATAACTTCTAGGTAAATCTGATTAGTGGAAATCTGATCTTTGCAATACAAAACAAACTCAAGTAAACAGTACTAGAGCTTCCTGTTCATTTCTGGTACTTGTTATGTAAAATATAACATGAATGGGGGTTAAAAAGCTGATATGACATTGGTAGATTACATACATGCAAAATATAATAATCCTGGTAGGAATGAAAAAGAACTCCAGAAATCTCTACGTATAACCACAATGAACTTTGCCTGATGATATTTTAAGTTGATGTCCACAAACAACTGGAAGGTCCTTTATAATTTAAGCATCAATAATGATGTGTTTGGCGATTTGTTGAGACAGTTTTAATATACATTATTATTATTATTATTATTTTGAGATGGAGTCTCACTGTGTCGCCCAGGCTAGAGTGCAGTGGCATGATCTTGGCTCACTGCAACTTCCGCCTCCCAGGCTCAAGCAATTCTCCTGCCTCAGCCTCCCAAGTAGCTGGAATTACAGGCAGCTGCCACTGTGCTCATGCCTGTAATCCCAGCACTTTTGGAGGCCAAGACAAGTGGATCATGAGG